AATTTAAAATATTTATAGAGATCAAAAATATATTTAACTCATTTATTAATTTATTAATGATTCTTAAATTATTTATCCGTTTTAACTTTATCAATAAATATATGAATGACAAATATTTGTTGATTAAGCTACTTTATTATTTTTGTCATATAAATTTAATATTTCTAAGTTAAACATTTTGTCAGATTTTTTTAATACAATACATTTGAATTTTTATAAATACTTATAGAATAGTTTGGTAGACAGCTTGTAATTATTGTGTTTCGTTACAAAATCAGAAATAATAAGGATTGCAAAAATAATGGTGGAGTATAGCTTCTTAAGAAATTCGGTGATGTAACATTGTAGATCAGAGGTTGCGATCGCGGTGCTTCTTGAATTGGAGACGTTGATCTTGAATCAACATCGTCAATTGATGTCAATATTGAATCGACGTTGCTAAACTTCAATGTGGCGTAATCAAGAGGGAGGTAGATGTATGGTTAGTACTCCAACGCACAAGCCAATTTAGAATTCAAGATAATCGTAGTGAAAATGGAGATTAGAGATTGGGTACCATACAAGTATTAGTGAAGGTATTTATATCTCTGGCTTAATGGAGCAGGAAAAATAAAAGAGTTTTATCTTATTGGGCTTTTGGCCAACACAAAATAGTTTCCCCCCGAGACTCATCAGACACTTTGGATGTCGATGGAGTCTTTTAGAAGCCGTGGCTGGCTTTCGAGAATGGTTGTCCAGGCGTTGGCTGGCATTCACTGCTTTGGTTTTTCCAAAACAAAAAGGGGAACATGAGCATTAAATGTAGTTCCATCATTGAAACGTTTAACCCGGCACGACACAACTTACTATGCACTTAAGTGTACTTGAGTTTGGTTGTGTTCCCAAGAGGAAGTCTGATTGTTGATCCGCACTTCCTTCTTAATTTCAATATGATCCTCTCGATTGTGTTTGCCTATATAAGAATAGAGGGAATATGGAGAAATTTTTTGCAATCTTGTAGACTAAGTCTATCTTGTTTTCTTTGAGTCTTCCCCTTTTATATGAGAATTTTTAGAGGAGTAACAATCGCCACGCACTCAAAGCTTCATTTTTTGGTATTTTTTTTCTTTATTGCCTCTGACCTTACATTTCAAGGTACCTTATCTTCATTTCAACTTTTCATTCATGTATTTACTGTATTTTCGTTACGATGAGCGATAACCATATTAGCATAGATAATGATTTAGAGGGTAGTGTTTCTTCCTCTTCGAGAAGGAAAATAGATCATGCATCACATTTCATTCCCTATGCTTGTAAGGATTTTGAATCAGAGATTACTTCTCTGATTGAGGGTTCTGAGATAGAAGGAGTGTTTATGGATTTCTTTTTTGAGAAAACTTTGTCAAGCGGCCCTTCACTGTTAGGGAAAATCAGTGAGGGCGAGGATCCTCCTGTGTTGAATGATGCATAAATAGAAGCTGAAAGAGAGAATGTGTTGATAACTTTGTCCAATTTTATTGAAAGAGGAATGGTCGCGAGCCTAACCATGGTAAAATCACAAATTATTTAAAGTAACGGGGAATGTCCTATGCTGTCTCTTGGATCGGTCCCGACTATCACTTTAAAGTCGATGAATTAGCCTCAAGGGGAATACGATTAGTTTAGTCATACAATGCCAATAGATATCACTGGGTGGTCACCGAAGTGGTTAGGACTTCTTCCCCCTTGAGAACTATCGAGACTATAGCCAATGTTGACTTTATGGTTGACAATCGCTCAGATTGGTTGATTCCCCCAATGGGCCCAACATAGAGGATATGCAACTCTTTTGAAGGTTGCTCGGTTCCTTTGTACATATGCCTCTTTACCAGGTTGGGTATACGTTTTCCCTTTATTGATTTCGAGGTAGTCGTGTTGAACCATTTGAGAGTTTCGCTGTAAATGTGTCGCCTAAGCATGTGTGCACTATTGTTGACGCCATTGCTTATGAATATTTGAACACATGTTGTGTTTCTTGTAACACACTATCTTGATCCGCCATGTAATCCTCTCTGAAGCTTGCTTGTGATGAATCCATGTTAACATAAGGACTGATGCATGATCAAGAACAAATTGAAGAGGATTTTGCAAGAGGAATTTAGTTCCTTAAGCGATTTATACCATATAGAGAATGAATAGTGAAGATCATGAAGGTGATCAAATCATGATCACATGCTCAACATAAATCTTTTGTATATTGTTCATTAAGATATCCAATGCATGAGGCTTGATATATATAGTTTGATCAAGCTGTTAAAAGTTAGTTACATGGTGTGAAAGTTAGTTAGCTTTCTATAACTAACTTTCCTAATATATTATAACTAACACTACAATGAATAATACTTTTATGATGAAGCTTTCATCTCGAACATGATAAACACCGAGAGTATATGTCCTGGGAGCGTCATGTTTGATTTTTTTAATAAAATAAACAATATGTCACTTCAGCGTTATAAAAAACCAAGGTAACACATCTATAAGTGAGTGCCATTTTTTATACATAAAAAATAATAAACTTGTTCTCTCGGTTTTTTGTAGAATCGAGATAATATAGTGATAAGGTATCTCGCTTTGAACCCCATTACCGCATTTTAAAAAAAATTCAACGATTTATCACTTGGCGTCTTTTCCATATTCCATATTTTTCTTTGTTAATTAGTAATTCTCAAAATCTTTGTCATCAATAAACAAGAATGGACAATAATAGAAAAAAGAAATATTTCATATGATAATAAAAAAAACAAGACAATAGAGAAAACTATTCTACATATTCAAACTTCTCAGTCCATTCAACTTCAACATTATTCCTAACTATCCCTAACTTAGAAAAAAGTTTAGAAAGAACTCTCCGTATGATATGAGGAAAGTCATTTCCTCCCGAGATATCTTTATCATTTCCTTCAAGAAGTTGAAAATGATAAGAGGAAGATTAACTCTGAAGTTGTAGGTGAGGAAGAACAAGAGATGCTTGTCATACCAAGTAAGCATTTTCATTTGTTTTTCTCTTGGGCGGAGATTTGCGACTAGAAGTGAAACCAAATTTTGCAATAGAGAGTAGAGAAGCATGATTGATGGGCTTATATTGGTTGACATAAATTCGGTGAAGGCTGGTTGAGTAGACATTGTTTAATTTATAATGTTCAACACAACTATCTATCTCTTGACAATTGATTGTGATAGAAATCAATGATGGAGTAATAAATAAATGAGAGCCATTGACATAGGACTTGATGACTTCATCATGACCAGCTAACATAACGAATGCATTCATCTAGAAATATTTAACGAGATTAGTGTATATGGGGCCATGTAGAATGTGAAAGTAACCATTCAACTTTGTTTGTTAATAACTTTCCTTAGTTCAACATGATCGAAATTAACAATCTTTTCATTGATAACGAACAAAAAATTTCCATCCATTTTTTAATAAGAAAAAAAGACTTTGAACCAAGGAAACAAGACACAAAGAGCTGGAAATGAGACGTTGAAAATAAGAAAAGACTTTGAAACAAAATTTGAAGTCACAAAGAGTTGGTAAGAGAAGTTTAAATAGCTCAAAATCTTCCTTGAAAATCTAAAAGATACGTAATAGTTTGAATATAAATGATCATTGTTATTCTAGTGATATGATTCCAATGCTTGCACGCCACATTGTAGTTTTTAAAACAACATCTTACCTCAGAGTTTAACATAACCAAGTGACAAAACAATACAACAACCTCTCTTTTTATTATATTTTATATTTATAAATCAAATGGTCTATCACGTCGATTTTCATAATAACCGAAGGGATAATTTAACGTTAAAAATTAAAGATATTTATCACCGTTATGTACTCAAATTCTTGTCGTTCATTTCATGGTTATCAATACTCAAGACACTATCATTAGTGATCCGCGTGAAACATAAATAGCTTCTATTATAAAAGCATTCTAAACTTTAAAAATTGATAATGAAACATCATGAAGCGCTTGAAACTATCTTTCTCTTTAAGGTTTGCAAGATTTTTTTTCCATGAAGAGTTCTATATGATTGATTGCAAGAGCAGCAAATTATTTAGACATAAGGTTTGTGTTCTTAATTGTTTATTTCAGCAGAAAATCATTTATTTATCTAACTCTTTTTTGCCTAACCCTTTTTTTGTTCATATCAGAAACAAATTCAAAGAAAAGTCATTGAGAATATAATTGCACCCAACATTTTATCTTTCCCGAGATATTAAGGATTTGAAGATCCAACATATGATCTTCATGGACAAATTAGTTATTACTTTATTATTTTGTGTAAACAATGTAATATTCTGGAAAAATATTGTAGTTTGTGAACAAATTATTTTATTAATTTTATGTGTAAACAATATAACGTGTTTAAATTTAAAAAAAAAAAACTTACCCTTCGATTTTATTGTTTAACCGAGATGATTGAGACACTAGTATTGTAAATAATAAAAGTGTAGACGTTAGGGTTCGAACCTGTGCGTATATAAATTTATCTCTCAGTTTTTAAAACCTCGAAGTGATAAGTGACAACTTTTCATAATGACCTTTTGTTACCTCACTTTTTTGGATGCAAATTGTCTCCAAATTAAAAAGCTTTCAGTTACAGATAAAATTTTTAATTAAGAGACAATTGAATGATAATGATTTTCACTAGATCATCTCCGATGAAAAACTCAAGGGAAACAAATCATATTCTACTTTTTTAGTCGAGATAAATATATTTCATGTCTAATGTAAAAGCGATTTTTATAATAGTATAACTTTTAACTAATCTATTCACCAATCTATATTACTCTAATACATCATCTATAAAGATGTGTTTGATGGAAAAAAAGTGTCAAAACATAAAGCTAATTTTATAATAACATCAAGCATTAATCCCCAAATTACGGTGACACTTCTTGAACAAGACAAAACAATTAATTCTTGCAAAGTAATTGAACCAAATTACAGGTAATATTACACTTATTTCATACATAATGATCATATACTACATGATGTCATGATCACTATTATGAGGGTTTTCACTAATTCCTCGATAGTAATATTGTATCCATCACGCATCTGCATTATAAATTTATAGCGAGTTAGATTCTCATTTTATCACCTCAATAATTTAATTCATAATCAATGAAACTAAAGAATATTTTGAACTATACATTATGTACCTGGGCAACTATGGTGATGTCAAGGGTGGATTTTCCGAATTGCAAAACACTACTACTCACTACTGAAAGATGAACATTTTCTAGATGAGTAAGTATTTTAAGCATGACATTCTTTTGTTTCTCACAATGGATTGTGAGGAGAATTTCCTTTTGTAACACTTCGACTTCCACATCAGGAAGAATCCTAGTACTTGTTTCACAATTGTTGTTACAAGTGTTGGATTTAACTTCTTGTTCTAAATCTTTCATTCGTTCTTCAAGTTGTTTCACGTAGTGTTTAGCTTTGTCTAGGATTGAAGCTTTGTCTAATTTTGTCTAAATAATAAAAGGAAAAGATTAATAATAATCTTTTATTGAAACAATAAATTAAAGTACATTTAAATGTAATATATTAATTTTATTTTAATTATATGACGCATTTACAAATATTAATGATATATAACTTCATATATATAAAAACGCTAGTCACACATGCAAAGAAATTATATCATTCATTTGAGTACAAGATTTTTATTGCAAACCTTCTTCAAGCCTATAGCTGCTGAAAGTGCCAAGAATCTCTCTTTGAGTTTCCTCTCATCATCTTCCAAAATGATGTCATCACATTTTTCCTATGAATAATGAAAATAACAAACAAATAAGAATATACCACACACATAGAGCCTAATAGGATCATAATTAATTGTTAATCATGTATATACTAATATGAATTGTGAGTAAAATTGCTTTTACCAAATCAGAAGGCCAATTTTCTCCTGGCTCCTCCATTAATTTTAAGGTAAGGTGCTATGATAACAAAATTTATATATCATATAGTTAATATAGTGCCAATATATATATATATATATATATATATATATATATATATATATATATATATATATATATATATATATATATATATATATATATATATATATATATATATATATATATATATATATATATATATATATATATATATATATATATATATATATATATATATATATATATATATACTGTAAAAGCATGGGAGGGAAACGAGGTTAGCGTGTTTTCTATTATAATATTTAAGTATTACAAAAACTATATTTCATAATTTTTTATTTTCTTCAATGGATTAGATAGCTGCTTATTTATGCAGAACACAACGACTTTCTATTTTAGGCTTTCTATTTATTTATTTTTTTTGGAGTTTTAAGTCTATGAATTAAATATTCGATGTAGAATTCTATTTTACCATTTTCTGACTTAGTTAAAAGCGTGTTGGGTTAATTTATATGTTAATCTATGACTTAGGTTGATAATAAATTGATTTTAAGTGAAATATGATGCAAGTGTTAACGGTTGATTTTTTTAAAAGGCAAGTAAGATATATATTAATATAAAAATATATTGATCTGAATTGGGCCAACGTTTGTCCCATTGTTGGAAAGGCCAATCCAACACTCTTACATAAGGCTTAAAGACAAATAACTCAAGTTGGAGATCCTTGGATTACGTCTCACGTGTTTGTTGGAGAACGTGACCCACATGTCTGCATCATCGTCATCATAACTTTCCTCTAAGAATCATGGATCTAGCACCTGTTCTCTCGAGACAGTTGATCATGGGGGAGTGCACGTGCTGGACTCCATACACATAAGCACTGACAGTCTTCATTGTTGGGCCTCATCGTGGCCCAACATTGGACACCTTGGCCCACCGCTGGAGACTATAAATATCCTCTCACTTGAGAGCGTCAGGTATTGGTTCTTTAACTCACATACTCTCATACTTGCTAGCACTCTCCCTGAATCTTACTATAGCATCAGAGTGTCTTGCAGGTACCCCCATCTCATCTTCAGTTGTTGCTCAACTCATAACTCGTAGACTTTGACTATCCATTCTGGTCAGGTACGATCAGTAGCGTCGTATGTGAGAAACAAGCTTCCACGTCTTTCATTTATCTAAGACTAAATCAACCATCAAACTATTTGATTGTCATGGCCGACCCAGCAGCCAACAACAACCTAAACGTCCATCTCGCCGGCCCCAACAACAACATCGTCGACAACATGGGCAATAACAACAACGGGAGCGACGTCGACATGGTCGGTCTCATGCAGAACTACAGAGACGACATGACCGCTTCTTCGTCATCCAGCTCTCGACCACACGAGAATGCCCATCTGCCTCAGAACTATGAGTCGAACATTTTCCAGGAGGTCCCCGTCCCCGCGGACGCTGACACCACAACCAGGGCTCTATTCGCGGTGATTAACCAAACAAATTACTTAATCTTCTCGCAAGGCGAATGACTAAGAGTGCTCGAGGATTCTTGCCGAGCCCCCAGAAGACGCAGAAGACCTGACACTCCACCTCCCCATCAAAACAAATACCGTCTTCAGTGTCCCCCGCGGAGACACAGACGGGACATATCACGAAGCCACTCCCCCCGACGGACTGGGAGACGCTCCACGTTGGAGAGACCACCGCCCGAAGCAACTGTGAGGCGCGATCTCACCTCCCCCGACGGGGAACAAAAATCCCTGAAAAAAGAAATAGGGGCAACAGAGAAGCGCACCCTTGACCAAGGGATCCTCCCCGAGGCCAAGGCCATCACTACGACCGCCATTATAACCAGTCTCCTTCCCACTCTCCCTACAGGAGCGACAAAGATGACCCTTGCGGTCCTGTTGTACCCCAAAATTTGCCCTCTTTTCGTACACACATATTATTGGTTTTATGGTTATGGAATAAAGGTATATTTATCAAGCTTCTTCAGGTTATAAGTGACGTTTATTTCGTCAATGGATATTCTCAGAGTATTTTCCGTGCTGAAGATCGGTTCGCCGTTTTGCAACAATTCGGGATTCAAAGATTCACAAGTCCAACCCGGCGCGTCATATTCAGGTGTTCTTTCGCCAAGATATCTCTGATAACGTATTCTCAAATTCAGGTTCGGCTCAAGAGTCAATTCTTTAAAGAAGGTATCCGAATGTGTGGGTTTTCTCGAAGAAATGTGGTGAAAAAGTGTGTTGAAAGTGCAGTTTTTACGCGCTAAAAAATTCATAACTTGAAGATCGTGGCTCGTTTTGAACCTGTTCCGGTGGACAAAATTCCGTATTGACGTCATATACGTTTTCATCTCTCACGGCTGGAAGCCAATTTCGATCAGAAGGTCTTCAAAAATGCGGATTTATCAAGTATTTTCATACAAAAAATTTGTGACAGAAGTTTATTTCGGTCATGTTCAGAAAATCATAACTTGGTCGATTTTCATCATATCGAGCTGGTTCCGGTGTCAAAATTTCACAAATTGAGTTGGCTAAGTTTTCACAGGAGGTGTTGAGTTCTAACGATATCCAAAAGGCCTTCCTTTTTTGCCTAGAGTTTGTGTGACACGCAGAAAATCCTGAATGCTGAATATTATTTCATCTGGGTCGAAACTTCGAAAATTCATAACTCGGTCAATTTTTATCGGATCGGGCCCATCTTTTTACACAAGGTCACTGACTCAGAGATATACAACTTTTCTTCGGAAGTTGAGACCAGATTATGCTCCGATCAATACCAGTTTTTTATTGAAGAACGTGTCAGAGTCGACACTGGAGCCCAAAATAAGTTTGTTTGAGTTGAAAAAATTCACAACTAATTCACTGTTTATCTGATTGAGCCCATTTTTGGACAGAAGTTAGTTCTCGATGTCGGCTATATTTTGTTTTCAGATTTCAACTTCAAAAATTGCATTTAAACCCCTGCGATTTAGCCTGGAACGAGACAGACTCAAGTGAACATTGGAGGCCCAATTGCACATTCAAAGCCCATTTTTTCTTTTCTAATTTCCATTATATAATCTCATTCTTCTCACACAAACACGAGAGGAGGAAAAAAAAACCTTTGCCACAATCCTGTCAAAATATCAAATTCTTTCAAGAATCCTAAAACCTTGAGATCCTTATTACAAATCCCTATCTCACTACAAACAAGTCATCCTTGTCACAAACCCACATCTCACTACTTCTCTAGTAAGCGTAAGGCTGATTTGATCTCTAGTAAGGATAAGGCTGGTTTGATCTCCATGATCAAAAGGAGATAGAAGCATTCATACAGCCCATATCGGTTTTAACATTAAAAATATGTTTATATATTTATTTTTTTTGTATTTCATGTTATAGTAACTTATTTAATGTGTTCATGAGATTCAACACTGCAGATTTATACAGGATCCCATGCAGGATTATTACAAAACACTGATGGCCAAAATAGAACAACCATCAATGCATGACAAGGCAGACATCCTGAGAAGGTTAAGGGCGTGGATTCAACAACCATCCCTATTGGTTTTGGTTTTCTTCCTTTCTATTTATCGTTTTACCTATTTTCATTCTTTCTGTTTAAAACTTTTTTTTCATAAAACTTAACATTTTTCACAAACCTTTGATTTTTCCTCCTAAACTCGAATAATTAATTTTAGGTCTTTTTTTTAATTTAATTTTAGATTTTAAATTAATTTGTGGTTCATCACTCATCCCATGACATTTGCATTATTTTTATTTTCTAACCCTATTTTTCATTGATGTTTCTTCCTCTATCTATTTTTTGGCAAACATAATTCTTTTTTATTAATCATTAGACATTAACTTTTTTTAAACCTTTTTTTTAAAATAAAATTAATTAGATTTTAGGTTTTTTTTAATTGACCTTTTTTTTTCAAAATTAACCTTTTTTTATTAATTAAAATTAATTAGATTTTAAGTTTTTAATTAACCTTTTTTTTCAAAACTAACCTTTCTTTTTAATTCAAACCAATTAGGATTTAGGTATTTTAATTAACTTTTTTTCAAAATTAACATTTTTTACTAATTAAAATTAATTAGGTTTTTTAGGTTTATTTAATTAATTATCATAAATCACTTTTTCATAAAAAATATCACTAAAAACATTAACTTAGAATTTTAAGTTTTAATTTTTTCTTAATTTCTTTTTATTTATTCTTTTACATTTTAATTTCTAGAAAAATTGTATAGGTCGCATTATCAATGTAATAGCGTAGATTTATCTTTTCTCGCATTTTTTTCTAATTATGTAATTGCTTCCGGGATGTAATAGTAATTAGGGTTTTAAATTCCGCATCTTTATTTTCAGTCCAAGATAATTATGTATCTGCAAAAGCCTTGTAATAGCTAGGACTTTAAACTTTCCGCATTTTAATTCCGCAAACTATAAACTGCTTAGATGTATGTTAATAGGATTGTATGGAAAGACAAACTGAAAATTAAAACAGTAGATCACCTTAATTGTGCAAAGATTAAATAACTAAAATTAAACATATGCACATGCTCACTCTTAGGGTATACCTCACTTGGTTGCCTCGGAAAACAATGGTCATGTCCCTCGAACGTAAGGATACCTTTAGCAAAGACCCTCGGTTAAAATCATCATAAAGATCATGGTCTCTGAACGTCCCTCGAGTTGCCTACGGTATATGATCTTCTCCCTCGATGTTGCCTATAAATATATGATGACAGTCTCTTTGAAATGCTAAGGTATCCTTACATGTTGCCTTCAATGACCATTACGTCCCTTTCGAATTGACCCTTACAACTCCAACAACGGTGCTACCTATTTCTCAAATAGTAGGATAGCGCTGTCTAAAGGAAACGAGAATAGAAACCATCTTTTTTCGAGTAGGTAGATACTAGTAGGTGCTTGCTCAAATCAAAAAATTTCACACTAACACTTTTCAAACAAAGTTTTCAAAAACAACTTTGTAACACTCTTGAGGACAAAAACAAGGGTTA